GGTAACATTAAACTATCTGTTTGATAATACTGCACTCTGTTTCCCCAAGCTTCAATTGCTTCGATCATATTACATTCCATACTAACAACATTAAAAGGCCCAGTTGTGTTAAATGAAAACTCTACTTTAACTGGTTGCAGACGATCTTTATGATTCAACTGCACCTCAGGAACAATGTTTCCTGCAATAAGATCTTCATAAAACCGTCTTACTGTAATATTTTTAGGTACAGGAACACCAATCCAGTTTAATTTTACACTTTCTGCCTTAATACGCACAGAAACAACAGGCATTTTGGATTTTGTAAGTAATTAAAGTTTAAATATTCCTATACGATTAGATTTATACTTGCACTGTTTAAAGGTATACTCGTATGAATTTGTGCAATACTACGTATAAATAACTAGCTAAAAAATTAAGAAACTGGGTTTTTGTAACAAGTATAACCTCTTAGTTAATTCTAACCGGATAAGATAAGTACAAATTAAATTAAATGCCGTTTCAGGAGTTGTATAGTAATTACTAGTCATAAACAAGTTTTTATCTAAATTGTCGTAAGGGTTAAGGAATGTATATTGCTTTATTGTTATATCACAATTCTGCTATGTGGTTTGAATATTTATTTATTTGTTTCACGCTTTTTCTTCTTTGTTACATCAGTCTTCCCATCAAATGTCCCCTTTACCAATTCACAACAGTAGCATGATACTGTTTATTAGGTAGTGGTTTATTTTCAAGAAAAATCCAAAGTGGAAGTTCTTTAGGATCAAATTCCTTATTTATTCAATTTGACGTGCACTTACATCATAGTCTGTTATAATAGACTTTTTTATTATATAATTTCACGTGCATTTACATCATAGTTTGTCATAATAAACTTTTTAATTACACTATTCTGATATATTATACCCTAACATTACACAACTATTCGCTGCATCGATCCTTCCTATTCCTATTTACCCTTATTCTTCATATCCCTGCTATTACTACTACGTGCAACCCGACATAAATAAACAAATAAATCGATAATACGTAATCAAAATCTCTCATATTTAACGTTTAAGTCAGTTTCTCTTATTTTAGTAGAATTCTACGTACTAATTTGTATAGCTACAAAAATTTTCTTTATGCAGATCAATAGATGCTACGCATCGCTAATTCTACTGCCTCAGTTTTAATATTTCATTTAAACCGTAGTTTTATAATGCCTTTTTTAAAAAAGCCTTAAAAATTCTGGTCCACAGAAATTCATAATTTGGATATAAACATGAGTTAATTAATTTAGTTTTTTTTTGTTTTAAAAAAAAAAAAAAAAAAAAAAAAGACCGACCAACCCAAGTTTCAGATTTCATGTAATGTTAAACGAAAAATTTACTTTGCGTGACCTTATTAATTATTGAAATGTATGAAGACACTTCCTATTGAAGTGTATGGAGATATGTACTTGATTTAGTACTTCATCAAAATCGTCCTGATCTTGTGATCTCGTGATCAGAATCACATGATTTTGTGCTCATTAGAACCGTCTCAGTGAGCTGAATTCAATGGTCGTTGATTCATCCAAATTGGTCTAGTGCATAAAAAGTTATAATCGAAAATGTGAAACTTTTAATGTTAACAATGTGACTGTGCCCTCGATTATGACTACCCCAGTAGCAAAACATTCATTTTTGATACACCTGCATCTACTTTTTTGATACACTTAAATGCAACCCAAAAATTTTATTACTTTTTTGAGATATGACGATTTTAAAAAAGTCATGTGACCGCCGTACTTAAAATTGACCAATGGAATTGCGAGTAAGATTCTAAAGGATTTTTATAAAAAACTTGAAGTTTTTTTAATCGAACCTAGTTTTTTTATTATACCAATCATACTTGGACATTTAGTAAATGTTGTAGAGAAGTAAATTAC